AGCTGGGGGCGGGAGACAGAACCGAAGGGGGGCTGGGGTGCTGACATCCCGAGTTGCCTGAGGCCAGTCCTGTTCCCACCCCCTCTCCACCCCCAAGCACAAGATGAAAGTAAGCAGTTTTCTTTTCCTTTGTTTGTTCTCCACTGCACTCAAGATTTTAACTGGAACTCGGGAGTTTACTGAGAGAGAACCCGTCCTGTACCTCCGTGTCCAGACAGGTTGTTTCGTGGATGGGGACACCAAGACACCACTTGTCCTCTCGTTCCTCTCCACTTCTGAACTCCTGACCTTCCCCTAAGCCCCAGCGAGGGGTGACTCTGGGAAGGGGCTGGGCATTTTCTCTTGGATTAAATGCCCCACGAGGCAGAAGCATAGAGCAGTCCCCCCCATACTCCCCCTTCGCTGAGCCGCTGGCACATCCGGGCTGAGAAGCAGGCCGAATCCCCGAGCTCAGCTGAGTCCAGATCTAGACATTCTGCCTTTAATAAAAACCTGGTACTACTGGTAGCCTCCAAGAAGGGGAACTGGGAACATTTATCACTCTACCCATATTTTCTTTTAAGCAGACTTTATTTTTTAGAGCAGTTTTAGGTTCACTGCAAAATTGAGTGGAAGGTACAGAGTTCCCACGTACCCCCTGCCCCCCTCACATGCACACAGCCTCCCCCCCATCAACATCCCTCACGAACGGTACGTCCATTACAGCTGATGAACCTACATGACGCGTCATTATCACCCAGAGTCCACAGTTCGCAGCTGGGTTCACTAGGTGTTGGACATTCTATGAGTTTGGACAAACGTATAATGACATGTATCCACCATCAGAGTATCATCCAGAGTAGTTTCACTGCCCTAAAATACCTGTGCCCTTTTCTACCTTTTAAATTCTGAATTTCTAATCACATAAAGGGAAATATTTTAAACATTCTTCCCAACTCAGAATCCCCAGAGATCCAGCGGAGTTCAGTGGTGCTTGGAGGGAGGAGTCGACATGCTGAAGTGAGGGAAGGGTTGTGTGTTTCCTTATCCTCTTTAATCCCTGATATACGAGCAGTTGTCTGGACAGATGTGAGGGAGAAAGAGTCCTGGTAATCAGTGTATTGTCCTGTTCACGAAGGTCTTAACGACAATAAAGCCCTAAACGATCACTGGACTTAAACATGGCAGCGGAACGCTTTCCGCCACAGCAGGAGCAGGACCTCGAAGGGCCTCGCCGAGGGGCGGGAGGCGGGCAGGAACACAGGTTGCCCTCTCCCTTCTTATTGAAAAAGGAAACATTTTCCAACCGTAGGCACTAGTACAGCTTTTCCTGTGACTAAATTTAAGCCTTGACTATTTCAGACCTTCCATCCTTTTCCTAAGACTCTTCTTAAAGCAATTCTAGTTTGGAAATAAGTTACGTAAGCCTCACTGGGTGCAGAGTACGTTAACCAAAGAACAAAAATTTCAGAGTTTTGAAGGGATTAATATAACGAAGCGAGGGGCTCCACAACTGAAGATAATTCTGGCAAGGCTGAGACGGATAAAAGGCCATTGCTCGAACTGTATTTTTCTCTTGACATTTCTCAGTCTGCAAATTTAACCTGTTGACCCTGAATCTGACTAAGAGCTAAAACGGTTCAAGTTCCACAGAACAGCCCTCAACACCTGGAAAATCCCATTCTCATAAGCATATCCCAGAAATCATAAGCAAATGTTGACCTTCTCTCTACAAGGCAAAGTGCTGAGGCAGAAACCAAAATGCCAGCAAGAACGCAGGCAGCCAAGCCTTCACCTAGGCAGGATGTGAAACGTCAGGCCACTCATCTTATATTTTTAATGCAGTGGTTACAGGATGGGGTTGATGTGGGATTGAAAAACAATACTGACTTTGGAGAATTCCTTTTTTTTTTTTTTAGCCTTAAACACTGACACCCACTCACCAGGGTTGGGTACTAGCAAAAGCTACATGGGATTCTAGGGTGAGCGTTCACTTCCCCTGGCCTCTGTTCCTTGGCTGTCAACAAAAGCAGAAAACGCCTAGTCAGAGCCCACTGGCGCGTGCCAACACAGAGACCTGTTTCTTATTTCATCTGGCACAGTACAGAACTGCAGTCATAACCACTGAGGTGGAGAGCTTGGAGTTCCTCCAGTAATTGACACCATGAAATCGGCAAGACAAAACAAAGCAATCAGTTGTGAGAAAATGGAGGTATGTATATTCTAATGGTAAGCCATGGTTAACACGTGGCGTTAGATAGCTATTTGTATTTTCAGTGGACTCCTGAGTCCACCAAGAATATACACGGATCTCTACATTTTTCTATATGAAAAGTCTGGTTTCAACCTACATTCCCCAGATAGGTTGATTTACTCAAAACCTTAAACCCCAGGATTCTAGTAGCTAAGGCAGTTAAAACCAAAAGGGCGCAGGTATTGCCTTGACTAGTGACAAACAGAACCCAGCATCCTCTAATAAACATTTAAGAAGTCAAACATGCTTTTTATAGCTGGGAGCAAAGCCTGACTGTTTCTGTGGCTCCTTCTATCCTGATACCTCCTGCCAACATACTGGGTAACATTAGAATAGGCACTGTCACAGAAGGGGTGACTATAAACAGAACGCTGGCCCAGAGATACGACATTCATCAGTGATACCATTCTAGCAAGTCTACATGTTTTGCACCTCATTCCAGGGTCAGGGTCTCAGGCAGACCCCTAGGAACTCTAGGGGGGTGGGGAATGAGTCATAGACTTCAAATTCTAGGGCTCAAAGATCACGGCCCTCAGGCTCTGAGTTCTTCAGTTCTCTTCCTGGAATTCTTGGGCCATCTTCCCTTTACTGTAATTTGCTCTCTTCTTCCTGCTAAAGGGCAAAACTGACTGCTCAAAGGGCATCATCTCAGGTAGCCGAGAACCTCCTTCTTCCTATATGCCTAAAATAATTACACATCCCATCAGTGAGACTGCATCATGGAGGAGAAAAGTAAAAGTGAATCTCCCACACACACTTGGTTCTTCTCAAACTATCAGCTTGTATTCTAGTTTACATATCATTCATCCAGAACATGATGAATACGTGGGGGGCATCATGCATTTCGTTTGTGAGATGATATAACGCACACGAGTCTCTTGCCCTGTGCTGGGCCCACGTGCACTTGGCAGAGAAGAGCTCTCACGAAGCCCAACTTGAACGTGCGCCTGCTGAAGCACCAGCCGTGCTGTCCTCATTTCCCAGCTGTCACACACTTGCTGGAGTTAGATGGGTCAAGATGGACATTTAGCTTGGAATTTAAGTTTCGAATTTTACACTTTTGAGTACAGCTGGATATTTTCACAGTCTACTTTAAAATCCAAAGGTTGCCCACTCAGCTTTACTATGATCATTCTGAGTATGGGATTTATTATTCACAATGCTGTACTTCAAATCAGAGAAAAGTGGCTTCAATACCACAGCTCGAGAAAAACTGGAAAGTGTTCCATTTCTCCATCCTGCTCAGTTTTTCCCATAACCTGTTCCAGCTTGGAAGACGAGAGTTTCCCGTCTCTGACGGACGCAAATGTGGGAAGAGGAGCTTTGCTCCTAAACAAGAGGGTAGAGCTGAACTCTCCTTCTCTAATCTTGCTGTATGTGTGGCTCTTACCTTCCTTCCCAAGTGGGGGAAACCATTGGCACTGAAGAGTTAAAAGGTTCACCAAAATCTGGGCTTCAGAAAGTGTTAAAAACAGTACAACAGGGCTTCCCCAGTGGCGCAGTGGTTGAGAGTCCGCCTGCCGATGCAGCGGACACGGGTTCGTGCCCCGGTCCGGGAAGATCCCACATGCCGTGGAGCAGCTGGGCCTGTGAGCCATGGCCGCTGAGCCTGCGCATCCGGAGCCTGTGCTCCGCAACGGGAGAGACCACAACAGTGAGAGGTCCGCGTACCGCAAAAAAAAACAACCCAAAAAACAAAAAACCCAGCACAACAAAGAGATACTGAAGGGGTTCAACTACAGCTTAGTGCCTACTTTGCTAAGGTCAAAACCTCCTATATTTTGGTAAACATCCTAGTCTGTTCCACCACAAGCTCTGTGACAAACTTCCCCTTGCCCAAAGATCATGACCCTAGGTCAACAAAGGTGGATAAGAAATAAATTCTCAAGCTACAGGAATACAACAGAGTTTGTGAAGTAAATTAAACGATAATGTGAACCTCACCTGCACGCAGATCAGAGTGGGGAAACTGAAGGCAGAGCTGGAAAGAGAAATCCTCTTTATGCATGATTTGATCAAGGACACAGCTCATAAAATTGCCAACAATTTGGAATTTTCCTACAGGAAGCTGAGGAAACATGCCAATAGCAAGAAGTGAGATGACTTCAGTGCCAACAGTTTGACCGGTTGGCACTGAACCAATGTCCTCAAAAGGACGATGCTTCCTCTGGGACCACGGGAGCTGGGGAAAGAAACCTACCCACCGCACAGGCGGAGGTAGGAGGAGACCACCACAGAGCAGCTAGAAAGGTTTGAGCGCCAGGGATTCAGAAGAGAGACCTTGACATTTGAAACCAGTGTCAGCTGAGAGTTAGGACATGTGTACGACGTGGACCCCAGGATCTCTCACACTAGAGTAAAAACAGATGTATTCTTCAAAAGCTCTCCCTGTATATGTTATCATGTGCGGTAGAGAGGAGTCCTTCTTAAGCAGCAGAGAGAGCTGAGGTGACAACGGCGATGTTAGAAGCAAAGTCTCCCCATTCTAGACATTTGCAGCAGTTTGCCTACAGTAACCAGGCAGGAGGGCCACCTAATTGAAGAAGCACAGTTACTAATTTACACTCAATCCAGAGTGTGTCTGAGAAAGGTCATCCACTCTGACCCAGTGGGTATCTGGGGGAGAGACACATTTATCAGTGAGGCAGGAAGATTACCCCGTAGAACCTACCAGTTTAAGCCTATATAATAGATGAGGTTTTCACAGCCCGATCACCCTCAAAACTAGTTTGGGGAAGGAAATAACAAGCTAAGAATTTATATATCAGTATCCTCCCAAATAAAAAAACGAGTCTTTATTATTACATTTCCAACTCATAGAACTCCAGGCTGAATATGACTGGACATATATAAACACACAATCACAAATTTCTGGAGTCATCTCCCACACCCCTTCTCACAATTTGGCCGAGTTATGTCTCAGGAAATCTTCCAGTTCAACCCCATACACCAGCTTGGGATAAACAGAAACCCTGAAGTCTTGTGGTTTTACCCGCCACTCCAAAGTGCTGTTACAGGTGGAATATCTGCTGGAGGAGGTATTTTTGCTGGGTTAGAATACAGCTGCAGACTCTGCGTGTGGTTAGAATGTGCATCTGCATGCCTTATGACCTGCAGGCTTTGTGCCTTCCCCTTTCATTGTCTTGTCCTATCTCTTGCCACACGGGTTGCCTTGCAGGCTGTAATAAAAATATATCTTCTATTCAGAATCATCCTGGAGGGCAGGTGGTGCAGATGGGTAGGACGGCTACATATTAAGTTACTGAGTCTACAGTTGAGAAATCTGCACTCTGGGGTTCTAACTCAAAATAAATATTATTTCAAGGTAAATAATCTACTTGGCTGGCTAGTGAAATGCTTAATTCTTTCTAAAACCATAACTGCCAAGTAGACTTGTGCTTTATGCTACATCCCAAGACAAAAATCAGGTAACCTACATCTTCAAAATGATCCACAGAGCATCCCTTCCTATTTCTCCCCTCACTGCTGAGAAATGCCTCTGGAGCCTGAAGTTTAATATACGCAGCTGGGGTTACTCGGTGCTCAGGTAAAAATCGCCAAAAGGCCCAACCTTGATTAACACCAACTATTTATTTAAGCCTGATGGTACCTGGATGGAGGCTCTCAATGGGAAAAGGAAGGATGTAGCACGTGGAAGCTTGAACGAGCTGAGGGCAGCTCTGCTAACAGACTCACAGGGCACAATGGGACGTGACCATTGAAGCCAGCAACCTTCTGAAAACATCACTATCACCTTCAAAACCCATGCTTTTTTTTTTTCTAATCAGGAAATCGGGGGTGAGGGGAACATTCCAAGAACAAGGGCAGCCAACCTTCATGAGGTACCAGGACATGCTCTGGCAAAAATATTTTCACCTTCCTAAAGTTATATGCTGTCTTCAAGTCCAACTATATTGTGTACGTGTGTGTGTGTGTGTGTGTGTGTGTGTGTGTGTGTGTGTGTGTGTG